AGTACTTCTAGAATTAAGGATAAGGGTAGAAGTATTTATAAGATTAAGGATATGGGTAGAAGTACTTCGAGTATTAAGGATAAGGGTAGAAGTACTTCTAGAATTAAGGATAAGGGTAGAAGTATTTATAAGATTAAGGATATGGGTAGAAGTACTTCGAGGATTAAGGATAAGGATAGAAGTACTTATAGGATTAAGGATAAGGGTAGATGCACTTCGATGATTAAGGATAAAGGAAGCAGTCCCTTCGACGATTAAGCATAAGGGTGGCAGTAGAGAATACTTTGAGTGTAAGTATTACAGTCGTTTTATGATTAAAGGTAAGAACAGTAATGATTCTAGGATAAAGGGTATTGGTAGCATTGGGTCTAAATTTGAAGATAATGGTACCAGTGGTTTTAGAACTTACAGTAAGAATAGCAGTGCTTCTAGGACTAAGATAAGGGTAGCAGTGGTTCAAGGATTAAGACATGGGTAGCAGTGGTTCTAAATCTTAAGATAAGGTAGCAGTAGCTCTACTTTTGAGGATAAGGGTAGACGTGGTTTTAAAACTAAAGAAAGAGATAGATCTAGCAATGGTTCTAAGTTTGAAGATATGTATCCATAAACTTAGGTATTTGGATGAGGGCAGTGATTCTAGGATTGAGAATAAAAAATAGCACAATATACTATTACTGTAATAATATACTATTACTAGGTGGCATTTGGTTGAGCGACACCATTTAACCTTTACCACATACACTTAATACTTCGCCCACACATACGAGATAAGCAGGTCATGTATAACGTCTATTTTTAAGTAAACGATAGGTCAAGACAATATGGGTTACTGAGACTTGACAACAAAGCGTGCTTACAGTAACGCCACAAAGGACGCGACATAGCCTCGTTGTGGGTATTAGATACGTACAACAATGGCGGATTGTTTGCATGGAACAATGGTACACGTCCATCGGGGACAGAGTTGAAACCATTTTTTTTTAAACCGCTATCTCTGAGATCGATATTTCGTTTTGTTTTAAACTAAACCAGCAACCATGGGATTTTTTTTTTAATTTTAAACTCTTGTAAATAAAAAAATAAAAATTATTATTATTTTAAGCTACTTCGTATCATTAAGACACGTGACTTCGATCTAGGTTAGTGGGTTCAAGGTGGGCTTCGTGTTATTTTTTTATTGAGTGAATTAGCAAGGGGGCAAGGTATTTACAGTAACATTAAATGGCAACCGGTTGACTGTCACGGAAATGGTATCTTCTTTTCTGGCATAGAAGTTTAGCCTTCCCATGAGGTCTACTTTGTCTATCAAAGGGAAAGGAAGTATTATATATCTTTATATATATATATCTTTATATATATATATATATATATATATATATATATATATATATATATATATATATATATATATATATATATATATATATATATATATATATATATATATATATATATATATATATATATATATATATATATATATATATATATATAAGCAGTACAGTTTATCATCAACTTTTCCCTACCGTGCCTAGGGCTAAGGAAGTAGAGTTCACCTGTTTCAATGACCTCGGCATACAAGGGGATTGCGTCGTCAGCTTATACACAGTCTACTTAGTTTTCCTAATGTGATTCACCTACCCATCAGAGCTGAGTGGACTCATGGGCGTCTTAAGGTTTTCGAGCCCAAGATTCGAGCTCGTGTCTTTCGGGCTAGCATCCCAACCACACTGTCCCCCAGTAGCGTAGCGAGGGGGGGGGCGGGGGGGACATATGTCCCCGGGCGCCGAGCTTAGGGGGCGCCAAAATGGGTTGGAAAAATAAATTGAAAGGTTGAGGGGGGTGCAAATTGAAAGTTTGAGGGGGGGGTGCAAATAAAAATCTCGAGGGGGGTGCAAATCGAAAGTTTGAGGGGGGGGGGGGTGCAAATCAAAATCTCGAGGGGTGGGGGGTGCAAATCGAAAAGTTTGTCCCCGGGCGCCGGGTAGGGTCGCTACGCCTCTGCTGTCCCTCGACTTTGAATTTATTCATGGTTTTAGGGTTAGCACTACAATTTACTAGAGTTTTTTTTTTTTTTTCATTATTTAGTGGCCGATATTCTCTACGACGATCAAGATCCGTCTACTACCATTACAGGAGAAAGTATCCGATACTTTTTTTTAAAAAATAAACTTCCACCAGTTCCTTAAAACTTATTTTGTGGTGCCCCTACAGACACCACAAGCCGAGAACCACTGACTTAACCATAGCGGCACCACGATCCGGCTGAAAATGAGACGAGCAGCTAAGCGCACAGGCGGTATTCGATCCTCCTCCTGTCTTGTGTAAAACGTGCCTGGCCAACAAAGAAACGAACGTTCATTTTTTTAAAGCCAACCCATTCAGATTCTAGATTACTAAAGTAGACAATATTGACCAAAAAAAAAGCCATATTTTAAAAAAATGTAGCCATCAACGTCATTGTACTGTTAGGTTAACCAAACAATGTGATTCTTATTTCCATGTCTGTTTATTATAAACTTCATGTGTTTTGTGATTGTAATTAATAAAAGCTATAATTACAAATGAATTATTCATTAAAGATTATCATCAGAATCGTGTCTTTATTTTTATGCTTAAAATTATCTTCTATTGTTATACTTTAGTTTTGATTTTCCCCAAAGGATTCATATAAACATGTGGTTTTTTTTTTAAATTAATTTTTCTTCGTTCTTTTAACTGTAAGGTTGGACGGGATTCCCTTCAACACAATTAAATATTACGTGTCAACTTGTTATGCACCATAAGGGCCGTTGCCTCCTATTTCAGCCTGCTTTTCTTTTTGTATTTGCTTTCATAGCCTTTGTCCAACCAAGAATAAACTAAAAGGCAACAGTTGTTTGATTTTGGAGTTGTCTCTCGTAGAAGAGTGGCTGTCTCCAGCTAACGAGCCTCATCTGCTCGAGGGTTCGAACTCGAGACTTGAATAGATAGAAAAAGTATTTAGACTGTAAGGTCATTTAAAATGTTTTTCATGAAAAACCTTTTAGTTGTTACGTAAAATTTTTTTAAAGATTTCAATCCGAACCACCAGTTGTTTTTTTTTTTGTTACGCCGACGATGTGAAAGTTAGTCCGGTCACGTCTGCTGATAGCACCATTGTTTGCAGACGTGGAGAACGTTAATCCTCCGAGTACCATTCCAAAAGGGGGGATGGAATTTATTGGTGGAGCCAGGGAAATCCTGTTAACTCTAGTTCAATTCGGTGGCCCGAGTACCGGCCCCTTGGTTTTATTTTTATCTAGAAAATCTGACGGGTTTAATTACATTATTACTTAATCGGACCGGGGGGGGGGGGGGGGGGAGGGGGGAATATTGGGTGGGTTGGATTACTTTGGTGTCTGCAGAAACTAAATTGTTTACCAGAAAACATTTTTGTTTGTAATGGTCACATTCATTTCCCTGTAGTTAATTTTAACCATCTGAACACAGTGGTCAACATGCCAGGCTAAAAAAACTGCGCACCTCAGTTATATCTGCAGTCATCTTTATCTGCAATTTACTTACTCTATATCTGCACACATCTTCACCCCAGTGACCACACCCTATATCTCCAGCCACCTTTGACCTTACCCTATGCCTGCAGCCACCTTTGAAGTGACCACTCCTTAAAGTGACCACACCTTAAGTCTGTAGCCACCTTTAAAGTGACCACATCATATAGGGCTTGTAAGTAGGTCACATCTTCTCCTTTTCGTACTTGCCAGCTAGTAGATTTCGAGACCGTAGACTTACAAGCCCAATATCTTCAGACACCTTTGACCACACCTTAAGCTTCCAGACACCTTTAACGTTACCACACCCTATATCTGCAGCCACCTTTGACCACACCTTATGCCTACAGCCAGCTTTGAAGTGACCACACCCTATGTCTTTAGCCACCTTTGACCACACCTTTTGCCTACAGCCGCCTTTGACCACACCTTATTTCTTTAGCCACCTGTAAAGTGACCACACCTTTGAAGTGACCACACCCTATGTCTTTAGCCACCTTTGACCACACATTATGCCTGCAGCCACCTTTAAAGTGACCACACCCTATGTCTTCAGCCACCTTTGACCACACCTTATTCATGCAGCCACCTTTGAATTGACCACACCCTATGTCTTTAGCCACCTTTGACCACACCTTATTCCTGCAGCCACCTTTGAATTGACCACACCCTATGTCTTTAGCCACCTTTGACCACACCTTATTCCTACAGCCACCTTTGAATTGACCACACGCTATGTCTTTAGCCACCTTTGACCACACCTTATGCCTACAGCCACCTTTGAAGTGACCACACCCTATGTCTTTAGCCACCTTTAACCACACCTTATGCCTACAGCCACCTTTGACCACACATTATGTCTTTAGCCACCTCTGACCACACCTTTTGCCTACGGCCGCCTTTGACCACACATTATGTCTTTAGCCACCTGTAAAGTGACCACACCTTTGAAGTGACCACACCCTATGTCTTTAGCCACCTCTGACCACACCTTTTGCCTACAGCCACCTTTGACCACACCTTAAGCCTTCAGCTACCTTTAAAGTGACCACACCTTTGAAGTGTCCACACCCTATGTCTTTAGCCACCTTTGACCACACCTTTTGCCTACAGCCACCTTTGACCACACCTTAAGCCTTCAGCTACCTTTAAAGTGACCACACCTTTGAAGTGTCCACACCCTATGTCTTTAGCCACCTTTGACCACACCTTTTGCCTACAGCCACCTTTGACCACACCTTAAGCCTTCAGCTACCTTTAAAGTGACCACACCTTTGAAGTGTCCACACCCTATGTCTTTAGCCACCTTTGACCACACCTTTTGCCTACAGCCACCTTTGACCACACCTTAAGCCTTCAGCTACCTTTAAAGTGACCACACCTTTGAAGTGACCACACCCTATGTCTTAAAGTGACCACCCGTAGCCACTCTTCCCATACACTGACCACAACTGAGACAGTACTCACCATTCAGATCGACGCTGCTCTGCATGGACGTGCGTATCAGCGTGGCCACCCTGTTGGTCTGCTCCCTGCGTGAGCAGTAGATGATGATGCTCTCACAGGATTTGAACCTCTCCCCTTTCAGAAGGTTAATCAAAGCCTGGGAGACAAGTCGAAAAGTAGGTCAATGAAAAAAATTCCAAAACAAAATAAGGTAGGTCGGCGAAAAAATTTCCTAAACAAAATAAAGTAGGTCGGCGAAAAAAATTCCTAAACAAAAAGAAAGTAGGTCAACGAAAAAAATTCCTAAACAAAATAAAGTAGGTCGGCGAAAAAAAAATCCAAACAAGTAAATACGTACTTTTATGTCAACAAAAAAAAATATTTCCAAACATCTTTTTTTTTAAATATTAAAAACAAATGTTAATAAAAATAATTTTTAAAAAATCACCCATCCCACTTCGGAATATTCAAGGGAGATGGAATCACTATCAATGTAATGAATTAGAGTGATGGGCCCTTGTGATAAGATGGACTTTATGTTTCCCCTCAAGATTTCAAAGAACTGAATCTATTAGGAGTATTTAAAGGGGAAAAACCAGTAGCAAGGTATATTATTAGTCTGGTACTAAAAATAACTTTTCTTTGGAAAATCCCGTTTTTTTTTCTGGGTGGGAGTAAGCTTGGATATTTGGACAAGAAAGACAGGAATTGAAAACATTGGCGTGGGGTGGAGATACTGTGGGGAGGAGGGTGTGTGGGAAAGGGGTAGGGAGGAGGGGGCGTGGGAGGGAAGAAGCGGGGCGTGCGAAGAGGGGGTTGGGGTAGAAGGGGCTTGTGGAGGAGGGAGCGTGGGAGCGTGGGGAGGAGGGGGCGTCGGGTGGGGATGAGGGGCGTAGGAGGAGGGAAGGGGGCATGGAAACCTGTTCAACAAGATTCGTTCTATTTTTTGTTAACATTAAGTACATAACGTGGAGGGGATCATTAATTAGTTCTAGAACTCGCAGAAAGGATGAGTTACATCTCACTGCAGTTACGTTTTGACATGCAATCTACAACATAGTGCACAAACTATGGAGATACAATAATACAATACTTCAAAAAGATATTTTTTTTCTTTTTTTTTCAATTAAAGACCTACACCACAGGAACTATTTTTAAAGTGTTGGGACTGATATGAAGTACTTGGATCTAGAGTACTTTTATCTTAGTACTTTGATCAGAAACACTTTGATATAAGGCGACTCAAGAAGATGGTTAACAAGTACTGTCACGTCGACGACCGCAGGAGCACTTTCGATAAGGCAAATAGAGGATGGGTTAGACAGGATGGTATGGAGATGATGGTATAGAGATGATGGTATGGAGAGGATGATATAGATAGTAGTTTATATAGATGATGGCATATAGCGGATCGCACAGAGATAATGGTACGCTAAAGAGAGGATGGTATGGAGAGGATGGTACAGAGATAACTGTAAGCTAAAGAGAGGATGGTATAAAGAGGATGGTATAAAGAGGATGGTATACAAAGGACGGTATAAAGAGGATGGTATAAAGATGATGTAATAGAGATGTTGGCACAAGCAGGGTTGTGTGTATAGGATGAGGAAAATGTAGCTTAGTGTACTATATTTTACGTGAGTGTGGCTCAATAGTACTAGCAGTAAGGTAAGGCTTCGCCAATATGTATTCAGCTTGATGCCTAACTAATGCCGGGTACCCACTTTAAGCTGAGTGAGCATAGAGAGCTCCAAAGTTTTATTTTTTTTTAATCTCTACAAACATTTGTATTTTCATCTGTAACATAACGCTTACAAAATTGCTTGTCCCACTTTAAAATTATAATGTAGATATAACGAGACGGCTGAAGGTGATATTTTAGATCAATCAAGGACGGGCTAGAAAGATAAAACAAAAGCAGCGCTCAACGCGAAAGACAATAGCCTATAAGAAGATTAAAGTGCAACCGATGACATTTGATGGGATATTTTCAGCTTGAAAAAAAAAAAACATCGACCGGTTCTAATCTGGTTCATCCAGAATCTTGTGAGTTAACCTGTGTCATTATATTCAGCAAAGATTCGTTGTTGTTTTTTTTTGTTTTTTTTTTTGTTTTTTTTATTTATGTTTTTTTTTAAGCCTTGTCGCTTGTAATAAGGAGCGAATCAAAACCACTCTAATGGAAGTCAGATTAAATTGTATTTAAAAATTGACAGTTTTATAATAAACGTGGATGTGCATTGTGTTTAATGCTTTTTTGTGTATATTACCTGGCGTTTATTTATTATTTTTTTTGTTAATTTAAGAACCCATTTTAGACTTATTAGTTTGCTCTCAAAACCTTTTTTTCATTTCTTGTCTTTGGGCAAGCGTGTACACAGGGCAGGCGCGAACTACAAGGCGAACTAGGCGGTCGTCTAGGGAGCCTTTAATGGGGGGGGGGGGGGGGGGGGGCGCAATTTTTTTTTAATCGCCATGATCAAAAAGTACCTAATAATAAATAACTTTGATTATCTTTTATAACTTATAGATGGTAATATACAAAGGAGTAGCGATCTATTTCGACTAACTATCAATTGTGCGCCCCAACCCCCTAATTAGGCCTATATAGGCCTATATTTATTCGCGATGGTAAAAATGCACCCCCACCTCCCTAATTTGTGAAAGTCGGGGCGCTTTTTACCAGTCACTTTGCCTTTTTATTTTGGTGTCACATAATTGATGTAGAAAACAATTTAATTTGTCGGTAATTTAAATTTCGAATATTTCAAACGGTTATCTAATAATTTTAATGTTGATTTTAGTGATCGCTCTAGTTCATGACCGGGAGTTCCGTGGTTTTAACAGGGCTTGTAAGTCTCGTTTTCTCTGACTTTGACATATAAATCTGCTCTGCTGTATCCAGTTTGCAGTGACGGGGTGTTCAAAGTATTGTCACTTATTTGTTAAGTTTTGCGAGAGCGTTTTGATTTGGGAGTAACGACGGAAGGCTGTTAATGATACTGGTTTCGTAGGTATAAAGTATCGATTCTTGAAGTGTTAAGGTATCGTATATTTTGTTGTGTAGTCGTAGGTTTAATAAAAATCGGATTGGTAGTAGATAAATGAGAATGTTGGTGATGAAGTATCGTTGTACAGAAGATGGTGAGAAGCGAGCTGTGGGGTATTAAAGGCCGAGTGTTGACTGTATTCGTGTATTAGAAGGTCCAGTGAAATCGTTGTTGATTGGGAGTATCGGTTGCAGAGCTTGGTGAAGTTAAGCGAGGTGGTGTCGTAGTTTTGGAGCATCGAGTCTAGTTATGTTTAGGTATCGAAGTTTGATGTGTCTTGTGAATGTAGTAGTTTGAGTATATCGAGTAGTCAGAGAGAAACTGTAGATTTGGGTGGGTTAAAATACAGAAAGATAAATTAGGCTATATATCGATAGCTAGATTACCAGGCTTGGGAGATGCGAGTTTCATTTGAAGAAAGGTATTATTTTAGATTACTTTTCCCGTGTTTTTGATTATATATATATATATATATATATATATATATATATATATATATATATATATATATATATATACATATATCTTATCCTAAACAAAGATCGTAATAGTAATATTGAAATTAAAATATTAGTGGCTCTTTAAAAGGTGGGCAATTTTGTAAATTGTGACTTTTGGCTCTTCTGTCTCAAAAGGTTGCCGGCCCCTGTCTTAAACAGTTACCCGTATTTCATTTTTTTAAGGTGTCCCATTATTGTAGGGATCCAAAATTAAATATCTTACAATAATTGCAACATACTGTAAAATGCATGTCATTGCAATTGACCAGAAGTATGATATAATAAAGCTACTACGAGTATATTTTCAATTTAACCTACAGCTAAAAAGTAAGTTGGTAAAATATATTGTTTTGACAGGGTTACATAATATAAAAATTAAGTATAATGATTAAGTAATGAAATTTAAAGAGTTCTATTGTGTTTTTTAAGCATGCCTTAGTCTTAGTGAAACTTGGTTAATTTAGCTATTTGTGTGAAAGTTATTTCCCTTTAAGGAAATTTTGGCATTTGGATTTCCAAATGGGAGATAATTCATTGCTTAATGCTACGTTCATTTCAAATTCCTGCACTTTATGTTGACCGCTTACTTATAAATAAAACTCTGTTATTATTTGCTATTTTTAAATTTATATAGAGCAAAAGTTCTAAACAAAATAGTTTGGTATGAGTTTTTTTTTAGCAATATCAAGTTGAAAAACTAATTCATCAGTATCCGTTATAGTTAGCAAAAATCTTCATGGGAACCATAGAAAACACCACGCAGCTTATCCACCACCCTCATCCCTACCTGCCAGGTGAGCTGTGGTTCACCCTGAATGTTTACAATAGTAGTAACTTAGTAGAGCCGGTTATAATAAGTGACGGCTATTAGGGGCAGATAATTTAGTTTTTAAACGATTTGAAACTGAGGGGAGATAATAAGTTCTGCTTGATATTTTCACTGTAGTCTGTAAACGGCTGCTTTCATTTATCGGGGTGGGGGAGTGGGGGAGGCAGGGGGTGGGGTATTTTCGAATTCACAAATTATGAATTGTTGATAAGTAGAAAATAAAACAACTAGATAGCGGCGTATGCTACGTCGCGGGTCTGCTCGTACTTAATATTAGTATTGTTAGACACAGTATGCGATAATGCTACCAATGCGTCTAAAATCGTCTTAGTCGCAAATTAATCATATTAGTTAAGAATCTTTTTCGTATTTTTCACCCTCTCCTAAAACATGCACATATAACAAATGTAGGTTGGAATCTATTTTAAATTTTCGGATGTGTGTGTGTATGAGGGGGGGGGGGAGGAGGGGGGTTGTCGTAAAGTAGACTCGTGGACTTAGCAACGATTTCAATAGAATGTGATTACGATTCCACACTGGAACTGAAAGAGTTAGAACAAACTTTTGCGACGAAGGAGGCAAGTAAAATTTGATTTTGATGTCTACATATACCTTTTATACAATTTATGATAAATTAATATGTCACTTTTAATTAACTGTTTTCTTAAACATATGTTTTGTTAATTAATTTGAGTAAAAAGGGGGCAGTTTGATAAGTTTTGCCTAGGGCGCTAAATTAGCTTGAAAATAATTCGCAACGTTTTTTTCCCCCTTTTTT